CATCAACACACACAGACACCAATACATTCAGATATACTGTATACAGCAACACAGGACAAACGGACACACATACATACATGCATCCATACAAAGACAGACACACACACAGAACGAACACACACACACAGAACGAACACACACACAGATATACATCCTGTTCATACAGTCGACATTATAGACTGCCCCTACGCTCACTCAGTTTAATAACCATTGCTACAGTCTACATTATAGACTGCCAATACGCTCACAAAGCTTAAAAACTAGGCTACAGTCTACATTATAGACTGCCAGTTCGCTCACTGAGGTTAAGAACCAGCCTACAGTCGACATTATAGACTGCCAGTACACTAACTCCGATTAAAAACTAGGCTACAGTCTATGTTAGTGTTTTTTTATTCACTTAATTTGTAAAAAATATATATATATCTCCGTGACTTTACTGAAAGAACAAAATAATTTCCCAACCAAGATCCTCCAGACTTGCTGGCGCTGTCTTTGCATCCAGCCTCGCCGACACCCTGTCTTCACGTCGAGACTTGCTGACAGTATTTGTACAAGTGAGAATTTTCTAATGGTTCTTGCGTTACAGGCTATGGGCTTATTGTGGCACTTGGAATTTTACACCTCTAATGCAGACTCTGCTCCTTATTGATCTCCTCATGCGTGTTTCAGTTTCAAAACACTTCAAACGCCTTCAAACACAGTGTCCTTGACGGGGTTTTTAACGTGTGTTCTCTGACGGTTGTAAAGATTTGATGACCGTGAAAACGTCTTACCACACAAAGTGCACCTGATGGGCTCCTCTTCTGTGCGTGTTCTCTATTGTCGGTCAAGATTTGATGACCGTGCAAATAAATTCCAAGACTCAGTGCACAGTCGTCACGTCCCTTGGACGAGGGGAGTTCTGCTCTTGGTGAGGTCACAAACCAGATAGGGAGGCGCTGACATTACCCACTCGTGACTTTGAGGTGACGTCTCCAGAGGGGGCTTTTACATATTTAAACATGTGGTAAGCAGTGGGATATCGAGGACACGGTTAAGTTTTATTTAAAGTTATTAAAATTCAATAAAACCTAGGCAAGGATACAAATCAGTAACACAAATCCATGATGCATTTCAAATGTGCTCTTAAAATTACCTCCTTGCTATTGTAATGCGAGCAAGGAAAGAGGGGGCAGAGTCAGGGTCACGTGAGGAGAAAGAGGAGTCAGGGTCACGTGAGAGAGAGGATTTAGGGGAAGAACCGGAAGGGATTTGGGAGTGAAGAAGAAGTGGAAACAGGAGGAGGCCACGCTGGGCAGTGGCGAGAGGGTGGCGCGATTGCCACGTGGTGGAAGGCCACGGCACCGTCGGCCAGCGGTGTACGTGGGGCACAACAGAGCTAGTGGGCGAGAGTTAGTGGAGTAGAGCTAGCAGAGGAGAGCTAGTGGAGTGTGGGAAGCTAGCCGGGCGTGAAGAGCTAGCAGAGTGTGCGGGGCATACAGAACAGCAGTGTGGCTGCAGAGCGGAGCAGCGGTGTGGCTGCAGATGGAGCAGCGGTGTGGCTGCGGAGCGGAGCAGCGGTGTGGCTGCAGGGTGCACGGTGGAGGAGGTGCGGGTCTGAGCGAGGACGCCGTAGGGGCGAGAGAGACAAGAACCCGAATAAAGGACAACGGAGATCTACACTGTTTGAAGAGTCCTTTATTACATTATGAAACGGATCAGCAAACACGATGTCTCTTCATTTATTGGTCTCTTCACGAAACAAATAATTTTTTCTTTCTAGATTTGAAGTTTTCGTGACAGCAAGAATCCATAATTTTTGGTTCTTTCGGTAAAGTCACGTCGACGCAGGCATTGTATCTCACCAGCCGTTGTCTGCCACACACTATTAATCAGCTTAACTTCCGCCCCCGACTCCACACACCGGCATCCCAAAAGGATGTTACTAATCAGCTTAACTCAGCTTATCTATTAATCGGCTTAACTTCCGCCCCCAAGTCCACACACCGGCCCCCCTGCGTCCTAAAAGGACGTTATAAATCAACTTATCTCAGCTTAACTCCCCCTCTCGACTCTGCACGGCGCCCCCCCCCCCCCCCGGCATCCCTCCTCCCTGGCTCCTCCCCCCCTCTTACCCTATATAATCGCTTGTCACAAATAGCTCTCTCTACTCACTACAGTAATTTTGCTGTGTCTGTTCCATCTGATGACGGAAGCTTGTATTGCCTCCGAAACGTCGTGATTTAATTTAGTTATTTTCATTTGATTATTTTTATAAAAAAATAATTATTTTTCATCTACGTGACTTTACCGAAATCAAATTTTAAACTAAATATAGATAGCAGCCTTCTGGGAGTGCATCATTGATTCAGTGCAAGCCACCTGTGGACTGGTATTGGTGTGTAATGTCTCAACAGCAGTCGGGCTTGCTTCAATCGATGGTTATTTATAGTCCTAGTTCGACAAAATAAAAAAACATGGAATACAAAAATTCGTGTTGTGGAGAATGTATCTCCTATACGTAACTTGTAAGTGGTATGCCTTCAAAGACAATGGCTTGTTCCAGAGGCAGATGCTTCCTGAATGACGAAAAATACCCCTTGACCCATATCACAAGAACAGCTCTCACGTGAGTTATCTGTACAGGTTACTTCCAAAACACACACTTTCCCCTAACAATCATGTGTTCCGGTGTGCTTTACAAGTGACGAATTGGCATGTTCTGGTTATGTGACAACCCTTACTAGTTGGCTGTATCGGGTGGTGGCGGGATTTAACGACACCTTTATATATTTACGCAATCTTACCCAGAAACCTCTATTATGTACGTATTCCATGTTTGACCCTGATAGACAAAATGTTACATGTACGCACAAAATCAGACAAGTATTAATTAAATTATTCTAAATTATCAATAGGCATATTGCCAGAATGTAATTACTGCACTGAAATGTATTTCATGTTATATCGTATTTACAATAAGTTGATCTATGTCAGATGAGGCCTACACCTGCAGCATTCAGATTGAGCGAAGCCAAGGGGGAGTGCATTCTATTTTTATTGCAGAGGTTCAAGGTTCAAATCCGACAGGCATCCCTGGTTCGTCCAGGAACATTAACTACAAATATGCACCGTCTGCTTAACAGTTGATTGTAAAAAATTCAAAACGAGGCGATTGCATGCTGGCATTGTGGTTAAAATTTGGCAAATTCTAAACATTACCCACAAACTTGATTTGAAGCTTTCGTGACTGCAGGAATTACTCTTTGGATCTTTCGCTTCGGGGTGGATTCATTGACATGCTAATTTCTCTGCTCCAGCAGCAGCCACCAGCAGACCCACCTCTCTCTCTGCCCACCCCCACCCCCTCTCTATTTAAGGCCTCGACACAGGCATTGGGTCTCTGTGTGTCTCTCTGTCTGTCTCTCTCTGCTTGTGTCTGTCTGTGACTCCGTGTCTGTGTTTTGTCTCTCTCAAATTTAGTTCTACCTGATGACGGTTGCTTGTGTTGTAATCGAAACGTCGTACTCTATTATTTATTTTATTTCTACGTGACTTTACCGAAAGAACCAGAGTATTACCCAGAAATTACACAACTGAGATTACACATCGATCATCACCCCCTACTAACAGACTCATGCCCACATGCAGGCTGGTGCAGGGCCACCTTATTCCACACAGAGGCAGCTGCCACTTAGGGTGCTTGTTTAACAGTGTCTTGAAATAAAAAAAAATGTTATTGTATTCAATTATGGTAATAAAAAATATATTCACATGCGATGATGCAAATTAGCCTCAGCTTCGTTGTCTCGCGTTGTATTGCCTCGTGATGATACGATGAAAAATGTCTAATTTTTTTTTTATGCAAATTTAGAAAATCTGTAAATATATGCAATTGTAGTGACTGAATATCACTGTGGTGCCAGGCTTGCGAGGTCACGGCGGATAATGTGTCATTATGTACAACCCGGTTACGGGTCGTAGCACTAGCCCTAGCGGGCTTGGGTGAGTGCTGGTTCGTGCGCAAGCACCACGTGCAGTGTGCGGTGCGACTCGCGGTGAGGGAGCGAGAGTGTCAGCCAGCCAGGGTGACGTTGGGGCATGATACGCTGGTTGACCTGCCGACACGTGACCGAATATTGGAGGGGGGGCACTGGTGGACAGGGGATCCTGGGCGGTCACGTGGTATAAAGGAGCCAGCCCCAGCCGATATAACGGGGGCCTCGTGGGGCTCGAGGTTCTTCGGGTTGTTGGTGAAGAAGATCCACATCAGGTTGAAGAAGCCTCGAGCCACGCGGTCCGGGAACCAGCTCGTGGTCCAGACCGGGATAGCGAACTGTCTAGTTCTGCCGTAGCGTGGTTAGATTGGCGTTCAACACCCGAGTGTAGGTTACATTATATTGTGTTGAGTTGATGTAAGTGTTGCTCCTATGACGTCTGCGACCCAGTTGGACTCACTACACAATTATGAAAATTAGGCTCAGCTTCATTGTCCAGAGTTGTATTACCAATTGTGATAATACAATAAAAAGTGTAAATGTATAAAAATGCAAATATATGGAATTATGTAAATGTGTGTAACTATGCAAATTACTCAGCTTCATTGTCTAGAGTGTATTACCAATCATAATACAATAAAAAGTTTAATTATGCAAATTTATGGAATTCGGTAACTGTGTAGAGGACTAGTTGCGGACATGACGTCACGCTCGCTTCCAGGGGCGATGACGTCACGGGAGTTCATGGCGGGGAGCGGAAACGTGAAGGGTGGGTGTTAGAACCAGGGGTGAGAAGGTCTGTAGAAAGGCCAGCGAAAGCGCTAGGAGTGGCTGCACTCCTCGGCCGGCCGAAGTTGGATCAACCCTCGGCCGGCACGGAGGAGGCAGCCCGGACAGCCAGCCGAGCCAAGGAACAGACCGTGGGGAAGGTCCGAGTAGAGGACCCAGCCTAGGACCCCTAACCCCTGGGAAAGTGTTCCACCCTTACTGTTAAGTTGGCGTAAGCCCTAAATAAAACACCGACGTAAGCTCTTACTTGGAAACTTGCCTCCGAGTCGTCCGACACTTCTCAACAAATGTATGCAATTATGCAAATTAGGCTCAGCTTCGTTGTCTAGGGTTGTATTACCAATTGTGATAATACAATGATTATCGCTTTAACTTTTACTGATTCTGTTTTAGCGTAATTGTCAGGTCTCAGAATTCAGATCTCACCGCAGGATACAGTTCTTACAATTAAGATTATTGTGCATTAACTTAGGAAGGAACCACTCAGATTCTTCTATGTTAAGCAACTTTAATATCTAAAAACACTCTAATATGCGAACACACTTATGATCAGAATTGTCAACACCGTACTCCTGAAGATGTCCTACTCATTGATCCATACAATTAACCCTCCATGGTTACATTTGTTAAAACTGAGTAACAGAATAATCGGCTAACTCCTCAGAGTAGCGCGACCATACACAGCGATAGGAAAAGTCATTAAAGAAATTATAATCTTCATTCGAAACGTGCTAAAGAAATATGCCCAATGGCAAAAGTAGACAAATGAATTCATTGGTAAGATTATGCAAATGTAATAAACGACTTCCACGATGACTCTGGATTGGTGTCATTTATTAATAGAATGTCTGCACAGCTCCGCACTCTCTCTCTCAGGGCAGTTCTCTTGCTTTCCCATCCGCTGCTGCGCTCCATCTTCCTCTCGCTTTCTCTCCCCGTTCACGCCGCTAGCTGTCGGCGTGCCCGGGGAGGATACGGCTTTGCTGGAGGTTCGCCACATGGTCGTTGGCGAGGAGAGGTAGAGCGGCGATGCAGTCCGGACACGAGGCTCCCACACCAACCCCAAGTCCTCTCCTGCCTCCGCTTATATTCCCCCCGGCGGAGCCGAGCTCCGCCTACGGCCACGCCCCCTCGTGGAACCCTCTCGATGGTTCCCGAATATTCCCCGTAGCTCCGCCCATTACCCTTGGCCGAGATTGAATTCCTACTCCAGATTGGATACCGGTTACCCAGCGGTGGCCGTGCAAATATCCCCTGTAACCCCCAGGTGGCGCTCACTCATTACACAATTAACAAAATGTCCTGAAGCAAGTGTGTGTGCTAGGGTGCCTGTTTGGCTAACAGATGCTTATCAATTGGCTAATGGGACATCAATTAATTCGCGGGAAAGATTTTGTGATCAAAAGAAAAATCTCAACACAACAGTATTCCTGTGAGTTTGTAGATTCGTAACATAGATGCTTATAAATGTTTAGTGTGTCATCAACTAATGTATTAGTAAGGCTATGCAATTAATGAAATCAAATGGCTAAAATACTTCTAAACGACCGCATTCATGTAACGCAATGGACAGATCAATGCTTTTCACGATCGTCTATTAGTTAACGCACTACATTGGGATGCCAACCCTTTTCGAAACCAAGATAACTTTTTGGAACAATCTTTATAGTACCAAGCGTGTTATGTGTCTGGGTGTCTTCATGCTAACTATTGAGTTAGCGGCTTCCGAGGTGCAGTGTTCCTTGTACAGAAAACCTCAGGCCTCCAGCAGGGGCGCTGGGTTGGCGTGTGTCAAACACATGGCGCTCTCGGCTGCTTTGTCAGTCTCTCTCCACCGCTGGGGTGGTTGCCAAGTCGGCACGCTGGTCACGCTGTCGACGGTGCCCGTGCTGGCAGGGATGATGGGTCCGGCTCCGTCTGCATCGATGTGCGCAATGATCCCATCACCAGACACTGCTCGCAGCTCGTCCGCTGGTTGCCGCACGTCACCCCCCTTGGCACCAGACACTGTTGATCCTTGTAGACTGTGGAGCGACTTGGACAGACAGCATCTGCCGTCTCCCCACCCCCTCTCTAGAGTCCTCTTCCAGTTGTCTGTACGACTCGTGCTGCACAGAGGACATACTACAGATCAAGTTATATCGTTCCATGTCAGTCTCTGATCCGACCCTCAACCAAACTTCGCCTGTGGGTTGTGATTTAAAGAGGCACTCTCACGAATAGCGGTTTTCCCTTGAAGGGTTGACTTTGATTGGAGCAATCGGAATGATTGTCACTCTATGATCGCATGTGTTGGTTGTATACAGCGACCTCGCCACCGGGAATAGTAATGCCACAGCACTCTTCCCCACGTTTGTATTGTAAGACTGCGAGTACCAGCCTTGGCTGGCAGATTCTCTCAATCACGCAAAAATGTTTTAAAAACTCTCCGTGATGCGTGGCTTCTGCCGATACAGAGGTCCCTATCAATTTGCCAGTCACGAGAAAATCCCCGGAGCCTGCCACGCGCAGTACTGATTTCTGTTGTTGCGTTCTTGCTTATATCTGAATTTTTCCACCTCAGGCACTTTCTTATGACAAAGGGGCAGCTGTTTTCCTTTTGAAGTCGCTTGGGCTATTTGTTGTCCGGATGTCTTTATTACCGCCATGTTTCCGTTCACGTTTTGGGCAGCGTTCCCCACGCTCCCATCACGGGTTGGAAGTGTTACATTTTTTCGCCTCAGACTCAAAAAGGGGCGCTCTGGCATTTGAAGTCGTGACCTATTGTGCACGGGTGTGCTTGCTGTAATCATGTTTTCTGTCCTCTCAACACAGGTTGGAAGTTAAACAATTTTTATTTATTTTACACCTGTTATAGCTTGGTACCGTACCACTTTCCAGTTGACTCGGCAAGCGACTCAAAGTACGTTTTGAGCAGCGTTCACAACACTCGCGTCGCGCTTTGTAATTCTTGCGTGGTATTTTATATTTTAGGGGTAGGCGCCCCCTGCATACATAATTTACTGCTACCATGTTTTGTTAGCTAATGGAAGACAAAGGCGGTTGGTGAGGCTCTGATCCTGTGGAATACATATTATCTTGGTCGTGTGGTTGACATATTTCACATTGTATCTCTTCTGAATGACCCTAGGTCTAAAACTTTCATAACTATTATTTGGTTCATGCTTAACCTTTGTTCCCCGTCTGTATCGCCAAGGATTCTTGCTTCTTATTATCAAGTTATATTTTGATATCCCGAGCTTGAAGATATAGCTAAGATTCTAACTTTACTGTTGTATTTTAAAACCCCCAGTCAGCTCATGATTAACTACCCTTGGGTGGATTTCACTGTCAGGGGAGGTTCGTGACTCCTGCTGTTTCCATCTTGTTTGTTTTATTGTGGGTTGTTTCCTTTATGGAGGCCTTCTCTTGAAGTCAACTTGGGATTCCTGCAGGAATATGATCCCCCCTTTGGGTTTGGCGTTTTTTTATTACATTGTATGACTTCTCAGTAGGCTTGTAATTATCCTCCAGCTGTCTTTTGTGTGGCAAGTCAGGAGGAAACAGGGGAGGGGTGAGGGTGACTCACCCTTTCCGTGCCCCAGCTCGACATCCCGATCAAGATTATATAAAAATATATGCAGAATCAATCTTAATATACATTTTTGGAAAAGGTATACAGACAACATGCTCTTCAAGTGTTTGTGATAAGATATGATACAAAACTCTGAGTTACTGAGGCGAATAAGCAAGCACCATATAAATGCTAATATTATTATAACATAGTGAATGCTTGGGAGCTTATTGGTTCTGGCTCCTGGTGAGAAACCTACCCAACCCACAGGTCCGCAAATGCTGGCTGCTCTTACTCTGCAGGTTGAACCTAGGAATTGAGAGTTCAACTTCACGTTATTTTCATTAAAGGCCTGTGACAAAGGTGAATCTATTGGAGCTTCATTGTCTCAAGCTTACACATCTACCGGGTCTCCATTTGACTTTGTATTGTCTAAGAAGTCCACCCACACCTCAACGTCCACAAACTCCTGGGAGTTGCCTCGCTCTGCCTCACAGTCAGAATTCTCCTCCTGCTTCACGTTGCCTCCATCGATGTGAAGGCCCAATATTGGAGTTGAATCTTCATGTTCACATTTTATCATCACTTCTTCACTCTTCACCATCACTTCTTCACATTTGACCTTCACTTCATCACTCTTCACCATCACTTCTTCACATTTTACTTTTACTTCTTCGCTCCTCACCATCACTTCTTCACATTTCACCTTCGCCTCTTCAAATTTCACCTTGATACATTTGATAGTGTCCAAGCTAGTATTAACTTCTGGTTCTTTATTCAGGAGGGATGGGCTCATTGCAGCACTTTGACTTTCACAAGTCGATTTCAGACTACATTTCTTGGGAATGTTCTGGTGCCTGTGTGTTCTCTGGTGTCTATGAAGATGTGGTGAATGTGAAAACGCCTTCCCGCAAACAGTGCACTTGAAGGGTTTATCCCCTGTGTGTATTCTCTGGTGTATTTTAAGATTTGAGGACTCTGAAAATGCCTTCTCACACACAGTGCACTTGAAGGGTTTCTCTCCTGTGTGTGTTTTCAGGTGGCACTGAAGAACTGATGACCGTCCAAATGCCTTCTCACACACAGTGCACTTGAAGGGTTTCTCTCCTGTATGTTTCCTCTGGTGCCTTTGAAGACTTGATGACTCTGTAAACACCTTCCCACATACACTGCACTTGAAGGGTGTCTCTCCTGTGTGTGTTGTCTGGTGTATTTTAAGATATGCTGACTCTGAAAATGCCTTCCCACACACACTGCACTTGAAGGGTTTCTCTCCTGTGTGCGTTCTCTGGTGTTTTTTAAGTTGTGCTGACTCTGAAAATGCCTTCTCACACACAGTGCACTTGAAGGGTTTCTCTCCTGTGTGTGTTCTTTGGTGTTTTTTAAGATTTGATGACTTTGCAAATGCCTTCTCACACATACTGCACTTAAAGGGTTTCTCTCCCGTGTGTGTCCTCTGGTGGATCTGAAGATATGATGACAATGCAAACGCTTTCCTGCACACACTGCACTGGAAGGGTTTCTCTCCTGTGTGTGTTGTCTGGTGTAGTTTAAGATGTGATGAATATGCAAATGATTTAAAGCACAAATTGCACCTGAAGGGGTTATCTCCCGTGTGTGTTCTCTGGTGTATAGTAAGATATGATGACTGTGCAAATGCCTTCTCACACACATTGCACTTGAAAGATTTCTCTCCTGTGTGTGTTCTCTGGTGTTTTTTAAGATTTGATGACTTTGAAAATGCCTTCTCACACACACTGCACTTGAAAGGTTTCTCTCCTGTGTGTGTTCTCTGGTGGCTGTGGAGATCTGATGACTGTGCAAATGCTTTCCTACACACACTGCACTGGAAGGGTTTCTCTCCTGTGTGTGTTGTTTGGTGTAGTTTAAGATGTGATGAATCTGCAAATGCTTTCGAGCACAAAGTGCACCTGAAGGGGTTATCTCCCGTATGTGTTCTCTGGTGTATTGTAAGATATGACGACTGTGCAAATGATTTCTCACATACATTGCACTTGAAAGATTTCTCTCCTGTGTGTGTTCTCTGGTGTCTTTTGAGATGCGATGACCATGCAAATGCCTTCTCACACACAGTGCACTTGAAGGGGTTCTCTCCCGTGTGTGTTCTCTGGTGGCTCTGAAGATTTGATGACTCTGTAAATGCCTTCTCACACATAGTGCACTTGAAAGGTTTCTCTCCTGTGTGTGTTCTCTGGTGTTTTTTAAGATTTGATGACTTGGCAAATGCCTTCTCACACACAGTGCACTTCAAAGGTTTCTCTCCTGTGTGAGTTCTCTGGTGCTGTGTCAAATTTCCAGGACGATCCGTGCTGTTTGCATACTGGTCGCATTGTTTCCTTTTTATACCGAGCTGCGCTGAGTGACTTTGCTCCATCAGACCAATCCCGCAGAGGAAGCGTCAGAGGAAGCGTCAGCTGCCGACAGAAAAACATGTCCACACCATCTTCATCAGCATCGAGGCACAGAGGAATGAATATATACAGTCACATATAATATACACGTCTATACATATTTATATATTCATAATGAAGTTGAAAATATTCCCCAATTCATAAAACGGGCTGTTAAGGCACACAATGAGAGGGCAAATATGCATAAATTAATGTTCAATCGAAACTTTGAGGTGTAAAGCCAGGCTGAGATTTGCTTGAATGCTCGGATGAACAGATCTAACTTCAGCTGCATGTGCTGAGATATTTTCCTGACCGTTTCCATTCTTACAAAAAGTTCCAGAGGAAAACTAAAATAAACTATTCTATTTATTTTAGCTCCTTGTTGAATAGTTAATATACTTTACTGCAAATACAAATTTGACACTGTCACACACTGGCATGGTAAAAAGGTGGTGGTGTCCATAACCATGCCTGGCCACCTTCATCTGCTCAGTATTAATGCTTCCTCACTTCACCATGTAATTAATTTAAGATTAATAAAAATAGCAGAGGTCCCCAATAAGTTCAGCTTTCACTTACACCATGAAACACGATTTTTGTCTCTGGGTAGCAAGTGTTATTTTTTTTATTGGTTATTCCTAAAAAGTATTCCCCACAAACTTTGCTTTTGTGACCAGGACTTTACGTTAAGGAATGTAACAAATGCATATGTTTTCTTATTGAAAATAGGTAAATTTCAAAATATCAGTCCTGGTCACAAAAGCAAGGTTTGTGAGAATAGTCATTTTCTGTACTTTTGAGGCATAAGCAATTAGGAAATAACACTTACTACCCAGGAACAAACAAAATGTGTTACACAGTGCTATTAATGGAGTGGATTATTAACTTTGCTTTGTGTCCTGGTCACAAAAGCAAAGTTTGTGGGGGAATATCAATTTTACGTACTTTTGAGGCATAAGCAATTAGAAAATAACACTTACTACCCAGGGACAAAAAGATATATTTTTGTTACGCAGTGTTATCAATCATGTTTGCTGTCGGTGATAATCAAACTAATTGTTGAGTTCATAATGCAGTAAAATAACTGCACTACAGCTCCCGACAAAAATAAGCTCTTAAATACATACATTTCACATGGATCATTAACATATTCTATTTAAAAAAATCCACCATTCATGACGAAATAGAAGTAAGCTTATCACAATGCTAATGCCATGATAGGTGCAATTTAAGGCCATGTAAGTGTGGACTCCTTGTCAGCAGATAATGGGAATGATCCAGGTGTCAAGGGATAACTGACAGATGAACCAACTGTGCTCCCCAGTCTTGCTGGGTTTTAGGAACCCAGCGTTCCACTCATTCATGTGGGCGTCGCTCTCCCTACCTTATGGTTGTTGCAGAGCAAATATATCTTAACTGCCTTGCAGCATACCTCACGGGCCTCCTCCAGAGGCCAATATTGACATGACTGATCCCAGTCATCGGCGGTTCCAATCACCTCCACATCCTCCAATCTCTTCTCTAGCCAATGCCATGCCTGTTTAGCCCCTAATATATGGACTGACAGAAGCTGCTTGAGCATGCGGTAACTGGAAATGCGGGATTCATGACTGAACCAATGCAGCCTAGCCTGTCAAAGAAACTCATGATTATATTCTATATTTATATATGAAGAATCTGTAAGCTTAATACAAAACAGTCTGGTTGAATTAAGGATGAATCATAGGCACTCCAGCCTTCATTGTATAAGCCAGCACAGATGGTCATTTAAATAAGAGGGTCGCGGTGGCAACACACTGAGTCGGATGGTCCAGGCCTCCCTTTTCCTGGCGACAGGCTCGAGCTCAACCTGGGGAATTCCAAAGTGTTCCCAGGCCACTGCCTGATTATTCATGGAGAATTGAGCAGGTGCAGTGTTGTATGACATTAAATTCCCAGGCAGGTGATTTATTTTTGTCGAACATTTGCAAGGCCCCATTTCATGATGGAATTATCAAGCCATAGAACAAGATTCCCTAATTCCATCTCATTAAGTAGCCATTACCAGATCATCAGCAGATGTAACATGGTTGACCAGCAGGGTACAATCCTTTAACTATAACCAGGCATCGATTAGCGTATCATTGTAACCGTAACGAATGCAATGGTTTTCATATGACCATTGAGAGCTTCTCAAACTACATAGTTATTTTAGATGCTATGTAACGTAAAGCATGGGGCCAGAGTGAATTTCTGTCACAAGCCAAGTTGAAGAGGAAATGGCTCCGACTCCTGGTCACGCAGCTTTAGACCATCCTGCCCAATATCATACAAATCCTCAAATAATGTGAACAGAGGCATAGATTTGAAAACAAATAACCCAAAGCCCCAAGCCTCTTCATGGTATTATGGGCCTTAATTAAATCAAGAATGCAGATATCTAATTTCTGTTGAAAATCCGTATGCCTTTGCTGTTGTCAATAGACAGAAAATACAGCAGTCCCTTGTATATAGTGGAGGTTATGTTCTTGGAAATTGCAGCGCGAAAGCTAAAAGCGCGATATTCAATACTTAAGCCTTACTGGAGTGATGGCGTTAGGTAAATGTCAACTAAAATTTCCAAAATCACAATTGAAGTACTGTATTCCAAATAAACTACCAAACTTTCCACGTGCACTCACGGGTGAGTTCGTGCGTTTTTTGCACTATTTTTAGCTTACCTGCTCACACCTTCAATACCTAGACCACTTGCACACACCCCCTCCCCCTGCTCCTTACCTCCCTCCCTCCCTCTCTTTTTCTTGCCATGTGTTAAAGCCCAGGGCATTCTCACTACTTCCAGTTTGCTATAAATGCAAAAACATTATGACATTTCATATACTACAATTCACGCACTCACCATAACATAAGTCCCTCCACTGCACTGCTATATTTGTTCTCATATTTACCACGTTATCCTTCCCTATTATCAGCCCTGCGTTTTTTTCCGCCAAATGCATCCACTTCCGGCTCCTTACTGTCCTCTCTGCACGTGCACGGCTCACCTCTAACACACACTGCAATATTTATTCAAAAAAACACATGTACTATTCAAAAATATCTACATCTACGTAGCAGCATTACTGACCTCCTACATAAATATAGATGTTATACAACAGCTACGACTAAATACGTCAAGTCTACATCGCCTGGTAAGGAATAAAAAGCATGCAAATACGCGCACTAGCGTTAAAATAATTATATGTACACACACCACCACACACATACAATTAATACCCACGTCAAGCACTACAAACAATTATTTCGTTCCTTTGCGGCTGTCTTTACATTCCTACAATGATTACACATTCAACTATAATTTCCTTAATCTCTATATAGCATTCACTCACACACTCACTAACGTGCGCTTCTCTTCACCAAAGCCGATTACAATAATTGATGCCATTCGTGCAAGTGCTGCAATGGCTGCACCTAGAGCTAATGAAACGCCTCAACACAAAGTTATACAGCATGCTGCCTGTGCTGCACCTACAGATTATGAATATCCTGAACACTAAGAAGTAAGAGCATGTTGCCAGGGCTGCGCTGGCTGCACCTATTGATAATGACACTCCTGAACAACAAGAAACAGGACGACATGCTGCCAGTCTTGCGATGGCTGCACCTACAGCTTATGTAACTCCAGTACAGCAAGAAGCAAGACAGTATGCGACCAGTGCTGCTATGTATGCACCTACATCGAATGCAAATCATCAACAGCAATGAGCTACACAGAAAATTAACACAGCATAAATGGTTGCTGCCACAGCTAATTAAACTCCAGTCCACCAACAAGCAAGGCAGATTGCAAACAGCACTACAATGGCTGCAACCAGGTGCCTACCCTGCAGCCAAAAATAAGTCTTTTCCACACATTCCTCACTTCATTTAATCTTCCGATTCATTAGTTGCCATTGGTTCCACGTCTACTTCTTGCAATACTACCATGCAATGACATGGAAAGGAGACCCTCCAGGGCTATGCTGCAACTGTACCATGTTCTTTGGGTCTTTTGGTAAAGTCACGTAGATAGGTTCAAAGAAAATAACAAAAAACTACGTTTCGATCGCAACACAAGTGGTCGTCATCACGAAAAGGGGTTAGCCTCGAAAGGCAAACTGTTTATAAAGGTTTGCATAGGGGGGCATAGCCCAAGTGTGTCAGCAGCATCAGCGGCATGGGCGGGGCAGCAATACCAATGCAGCAGCAATGCCAATGCAGTATGTTAATGTAAGATCGGTGAGCGGCCTCCACGGCAAGCGCGCTGAGGTGGCTATGTTAATGTGAGAGATTAGCATGTTAATGCTGGTAGGAACCTCCTGGTTACACCAGCCCACAGGGGATTATTGTGTCCGTCCGTCTTGCAGGGAGGGGCTGGGTGGGCAGGGAGGGGCTGGGTGGGGAGGGAAGGGTGGGGAGGGGTTGGGTGGGGAGGGTGGGGCTGGGTGGGAAGGTGCTGGTCACCCCGTGGTGCCCTTATAAAACTCAATGTTTAACCTACTCACGACGGCTTGTGCCCGCCCTCACAGTCGGGCATATTTGCGGAATACACCACGCCACCGTTGACCCTGGCCATTCACCGAGCAACCCAACGTTCCTACCAGCTCCCTCCGCAGGAATGTGTTGTAAGATCGCAGAGCCGCCGCCACCTCTAGATTGGCAGAAGGTGGCTGTGTTAGTGTGAGAAATTTTACCTGTTCATGTAAAATCGGAGAGCTGAAAATAATAGCTCACATCGGAAGGTGGTAGGATGGGAACATCACTGAAACTGGTTGATAACGTCCTTCCAAGGATTGTTAAGTGTGTACCCATCTTCTCAGTTGAAATTGGGTCTTTGTCTGAAAAAATGGATGGCTTCATGAACGAATCTTTGTTGATAGCCAGTGAGATTGCAACGTACCGTCGTCTTAGAGAAATTAATTTCGCATGAGCCCACCGCATTAAGACAATGATCAGCCATGGCCGGGGTATGTGTCCTACTGTGTTTCAGAGCTGCCTTATGTTCACGAACGCGGTCCGATACATGTCGCTTAGTTTCCCCAATGTAACTACTGCTGCAGACACAGCTTAGTTTGTAGACACCGGGGTATTTCACGTCAGGGATCACATCCCAAAGAATATTAATTCCTGCAGTCACAAAAGCTTTAAGTCAAGATTTAACTGTACTATGGTTCAGCTGTCTAAAATTAATGACCATCCTGAGCCTATTCATGTTTTGATACCTGCCAACACTACCTATGCAAGCCAATTCCAAACGACAATAGAAATGTTTTGGCACCAACCAACTCATCCCAACATCTGGCTACATGCCCAGATTTAAAGTGCAGGGCCAGGTACATAATCGCATTGGCAGTCTGCTGCCACTATCTAATGACCAACCTACATTACCACAGATCTACTTGCATGTCTGACAATAGGTGACAGGCTCAACAGCATTGCAACAATGTCATCAACACCAAGATGCAAGTCCTGTAAGGTGATGATGGCTACAATTTTCTACTTCGCCTAACTGACCCAGCAACAGGCTTGCCAACACAAAAGAAGATTTCTGCCATGGACTTCTTTGTCTTCAGGATCATGGTGCGAATCGGCAGCTTCAATCTCTTCTTGATATGCAAAAAGCTCTTTCACCAATTTGTTGTCGACATGTATGCCAAAATTGAAACTTCATTCGATTAAACCCACCAGATGGCAAACATCCAACATTGTCTATCCTGAAGCTCTCCAAGGGCAACGGATTTAAAAGCTGTCCTCATTATGAAAGAAACAAGCCCTGCGATTGTATACCACAACCAAAAAACCGTGACAATATACACATTTACAGAATCCATTGGCAGAATTCAATCATTGTAATAAAACCAGCATTGCAAGATATTACTTTTCATTTTTGATTACTGAGACCTGTGCAAAGCCAGGTAACTTAGCTAGTTCTGAATACGATACTTCCGATGATGTTTGTGCATGAGTGGGGAGCGGTAGTGCAATGGTTAGTGTGCTGCGCTATAAACCCAGCAACCTGATCTATCGTCCCTGAGAGTCAAGCCACAACATTTGGCTGTCGCCTGATGAAGCTGGTTGTAATTTCTGGCGAAACGTCGTACTCAAATTGTAAATTTTGTGGCTTGGCTCCCCAACATACAACAAGTGTGCTGTACTTGTGACAAATTGGCCACGTCTTGTTTACGTGACAACCCTTACTAGTTGGCTGTGTCGGGTGGTGGCGGGTTTAACGACACATTTATATTTAAGACGATCTAACCCAAACAAACCTGTATTATGGATGTATATTTAGAGTTTGCAAGTCTCTCTCTCCCCGTGGTCGCGTGGATTTTCCTCCGGATCCTCCAGGTTTTCCCTGCACATTTAGAGTCAACATCACCACGCGTTTAGAGTATTTGACATACATTTTACACATTTCCACACGTTGAAAAGCCACTTTGTTGTGGACAGGTCGCTTCTGAAAAAGAGCGGTGTAGCTCAAGTGGGCTATGCCTGGTAAAATAAAACTGAAGAAATGTTTTGAAAGAATAAAAAGTTTCAAAGTAGTGAGTCAGGTGAAGACAAATGAAACTTAAGCAGAGAATTAAAGCAAATGCAATCAGGCGAGGGCAGGAGGCAAGGCCCCGCGTTGTAATGTTCCAACCTGGGCATCGATTCCGTACTCGCTGCTCCTCAATTGATATTCCTACGAGAGAGAGAGGAGCGAGGCTCTACCTGGGTAAACAACAACAACCACCACCACAACAACAACCACGATGTGAACTTCTCACCTCGGATCTCAGTGAGCGCGCAGAACAGCAGCTTCCTTGAACTTCCTGGTATCTCGAGACGTCACGCGGCAGCAGGTGACATGACGTCACTTGCGGGGTTCAACATACAATCCCCTGACTTAAAGCTTTTGGTAACTATAAAAACGTCACGCGATTTTGGCCGATTTTTTACCTCTCCTCCCCGCATGTCACAAAAAGTCAGACCCCCCCTCAAATATGACGTCGCAAAGCTCTGCCCCCCCCCCACCAATCCATATTTCCATTTTGAAAATAAAACATGCTTCAAATCACTTTAAACTATTGCCATTGTAGTGTGTATTTAATGTGACGCTGCACTTTGATGTTGTAGGAGGTATTAAAAAGGAGGCGTTGGAAAGCTGAAATTTAGCATAACATTCACTTTAAAATCTTCAATGTCTAACTAAAACTGCAGATGTTCAGGATATTATATTTAAATTCTCTTATAATTAAAAATATAAAAAGTAATTATAACTATAACTATTATAACTATACTTATTTCCCTCATTAAAATGCAAATCAATTTATAACATTTTTGACATGCGTTTTTCTGGATTTTTTGTTATTCTGTCTCTCACTGTTCAAATAACCCTACCATTAAAATTATAGACTGATTATTTCTTTGTCAGTGGGCAAACGTACAAAATCAGCAGGGGATCAAATACTTTTTTCCCTCACTGTATGCATTGCAGTTGTTTCGATTGCTCACATCCCGCTATTTACTGATACGTAGTATTGCGATGCTGATAGCTGTGCCATCATCGGGGATTGCTGTGCACGTTCATGTGTGTGTTTGAGTCCATATATGTGTGCGTGTAGGTTCATGCGTCTGTGTGTAAATCCTTGTGTGTGTCTGTCTTTTTAGAACGGACAACGCCCGATGTGTGTGTGTGTACGTCCATGTGTTTGTGTGTGTCAGTGCAAGTGTGCGTGTCAGGCCATGTGTGTGTGTATCAGTCGCTGTGTGTGTTAGTCGATGTGTGTGTGTTAATCTATGTGTATGCATGCCTCCATGTCAGTGTGTAAGTCGATGTGCGTTTGTGTGTATATGTGTGTCAGTGTGTGTGTACGTCCATTTGTTTGTGTGTCAGTCCATATGTGTGTGTTAGTCCACATGTGTGTGTAAGTCCTTACATGTGTGCGCGTCACTCGATGTGTGTGTGTAAGTCAATACGTGTGTCTGCGTTTATATGTGTGTGTTAATCCATGTTTGTGTGTCTAAAGTATATGTCTGTATGAGAGTTCATATGTGTGTGTACGCCAATGTGTGTGTCACTCTATGTGTGTGTATGTGTAAGTCGATGTGTTTCTGTGTCTTAGTTGATATGTGTGTGTTAATCCATATGTGTGTATCTAAAGTACATGTCTGTGTCTGAGAGTCCATATGTGTATGTAGGGCAATGCGTGTATCAGTCTATGTGTGTGTGTAAGTCGATGTGTGTGCGTGGGTCCATGTGTGTGTGTAACTCCATGTGTGTGTATCTAAAGTGGATGTCTATGTGTGTGAGTCCATATGTGTGTGTAAGTCGATGTGTTTGTGTGAGTCGATATGTGTGTGTTTCAGTCCATGTGCGTGTGTGTTAGTCGCTGTGTGTGCATGCCTCCGTGTTAGTCAGCGTAAGTCCATTTCTTTGCGTGTCTGCAGGTCTATGTGTGCGTCTTAGTCCATGTGTGTGATTTATTGACCTGCTCAAGGCCTATGATACCATCAGTAGGTCTGGCCTCTGGGTTGTTTTTCATGCTTTCGGAGTCCCTCACCCTTTGCTCACGATCCTCAAAGACCTTCATGATGGTGAGTGGCCCCTCGTCAAACTACGTGGCCGTCAGTCAGAGCCATTCCCTCTACACCTTGTGGGTGTGACGGGGATGTCCTCTGGCTCCCACATTATTTAACACGTAGTTGGTGAAGCCTTCAATGGCTGTAGCGGAGGAATTACCGTATGGTACAGATACAATGGGAGGCTGATCGATGCCTGGGTGCGGTCAAGGGATGGTTCCCTATTGCTCAACCATGTTATGTATGCCGATGCTCTGGTGATTGCTGCTCACTCAGAGGAAGAGTTGGAGGCACTTCTGCTGAACCTGGAGCTTGCCACTAAGAGGTGGGGCCTTACCATCAGCCCCACCAAAACTAAGCACCTGCCTGCGTATTTTGTACCACCGGACAATCCACCCCCACTACTCACAATTGGTAATGCGGCAGTTGTGCAAAGATTGGAGAGATTCCCATACCTGGCCAGTGTGCTCATGACCGGCTCCGGTTTAACAGCAGAGGTCTCACTCCAAATCAGTCGAGCGCCATTATCTTTTCATCGGCTGCGTTACGCTGTGTGGAAGCTACCTGCTCTCTCGCTCCGCATGAAGCTCCAGGTCTTCTCGGCCATGGTAATTCCTTCCCTTCTCTACGCTTACGAAACGTGCACCCCCCTAATGGAACATCTTCGCCAGTTAGAAACATTTAGGCTGGCCTGCTAACGATCCATTCTGGGTTTAACCATGTGTTTGTGTGCGTCTAAATCGATGTTGCTATGTGTGTGGGTCGATGTCTGTGTGTAAGTTCATGTGTGTGTCTGCCTTTTTCGCCTGAATTTAGCAAACCGAAACAAGTAAAATTCATTTTAGAAAGAATCAAGAATAAGTCTACATTATAGACTGCCAGTATGCTCACCGAGGCTAAGAACCAGGCCATAGTCTACATCATAGACTGCCAGTACACTCACCCAGCTTAATAACCAGGCTACAATCTACATTATAGACTGCCAGTACACTTCGATTATAAACCAGGCTACAGTCTACGTTAATAGGTTTTTTAATTCACTTCATTTGTATTATTACTTTTTATATCTTCCGTGACTTTACTGAAAGAACCAAAAAAATTCCCAACCAAGATTCTCCAGACTTGCTGGCGCTGTCTTTGCAGTTTGCATACAGCCTCACCGACACCCTGTATTCACGTCGAGACTTGCTGACAGTCTTTGCACAAGCTAAAATCTTCTAATGGTTCCTGCGTTACAAGCTATGGGCTTATTGTGGCACTTGGAATTTCACATCTCTAATGCAGACTCTGCTCCTTATAGATCGATCTCCTTATGCGCGTTTCAGTTGCAAAATACTTAAAAGGCCTTCAAACACAGTGTACTTGACGGGGTTTTTAATGTGTTCTCTGGCGGTTGTGAAGATTTGATGACCGTGCAAACGTCTTACACACACAGTACACATGATGGGCTCCTCTTCTGTGCGTGTTCTCTGGTGTCGGTCAAGATTTGATGACCGTGAAAATTAATTCCAAGACTGAGTGCACAGTCGTCAGGTCCCGTGGACCTGACCTACATATTTAAGTAAACATGTGGTAAGCAGTGGGATATCGATGGACACTGTTATTTAAGTTTATTTAAACATATATTAAAATGCAATAAAACCTAGGCTAGAATACAAATCGATAACAAAAAATCATGATGCACTTAAAATGTGCTCTTAAAATTACCTCCTTGCTATGAAACAGATCAGCATACACGACGTCTCTTTCATTTATCGTTCTCTCCACGAAACAAATACATGTTTTACACAAACTACAAATATCAGCCTTCTGAGAGTGCATCATTGATTCAGTGCAAGCCACCTGTGGATCGGTATTGGTGGACAATGTCTCAACAGCAATCGGGCTTGCTTCAACCGATGGTTACGAACATCCAGATGTTAATCAGCAAGTGGCATTTATAGTCCTAGTTCGAATGTATCTCCTATACGTAACTTTTAAGTGATATGCCTTGTAACTGATGAATGATGCGGATGCTCCTTATTTCAAAAGTAATGACTTGTTCCAGAGAGAGATGCTTCTTGAATCACGAAAAATACCAGTTGACCCGTATCAGAAGAACAGCTCTCACATGAGTTATCTGTATAGGTTACTTCCAAAACAAACACTCTCTCCTAACAATCACGTATTCCACGTTTGACCCTTATAGACAAAATGTTACATGTACGCACAAAATCAGCCAAGTATTCATTAAATTATAATTCTAAATTATCGATAGGCATATTGAAAAAGTGTAATTACTGCACTGAAATTTACTTCATATTATATCGTATTTACAAGAAGTTGATCTCTGTCGGATGAGGCCTACACCTGCAGCACTAAGATTGAGGGAAACCAAGTAGAAGTGCATTCTCTTTTTGTTGCAGAGGTTCAAGGTTCAAGTCCGACAGGCATCCCTGGCTAGTCCAAGAACATTCATTACAAATATGGACCGTTTTCTTAACAGCTGATTCTAAAACATACTATTGCGTCATTAAAAACGAGTAGGCAATTGCATGCTGGTGTTGTGGTTAACATTGGGCAAATTCGAAACATTACACACAAATTACACAACTGAGATTACACATCAATCATCACCCCCTACTAACAAACTCATGCCCACATGCAGGCTGGTGCAGGGCCACCTTATGCCACACAAGGGCAGCTGCCACTTGGGGGGGTGCTTGTTTTACCTAGTGTCTTGAATTTTTTGTTAAATAATAAAGATGTAATTGTATTAACTTATGCTAATTTAGGAAAAAAATTACATTTATGCGATTATGCAAATTAGGCTCGGGTTTCTTATCTCGGGTGTATTATCAATCGTGATAGTACAATGCAAAATGTGCAATTTTATGAAATTATTTAAATGCATGCGATTATGCAAATTAGGATCAGCTACTTTGTCTAAGGTTGTATTACCATTTAAAGCTTTCGTGACTGCAGGGATTCATCTTCTTGGTTCTTTCGGTAAAGTCACGTAGAAGGGAAGTAATAAAATAATAAAAATAAAACATAATAAAATTATTCTCACGACGTTTCGGCCACAACGCAAGCAGCCGTCCTCAGGTGAAAACCAGGTCCGTCGAGGCGACAGAGTCTGAATGAAACAGCACACGAGCTTGGAGCATATATATAAGCTGGGCGCCTTGACAAAAGAATTTGCATATCAAGATGAATTTAGCATATTTATGGGAAATGCAGGAATGTGATTAGTACTACATATGCATGTGCATTATGCAG